TGTTAGGCTCTGGCACCATCTCATAGTAACACAGAGGGTGAACTTAGATAGACGTGGAGCCAAAAGATCTGGTCCAAGACCTAACTCTACAATGGATCAACCATGGTGACTGTGGACAAATTCCCCAACCTCTCTAAGCCTCTGCTCATCTACAGAATGACAAAGCCCATCAGGTGCTCCTTACCATATCACCAGAGGGCTGTTGTGAAAATGTAGTGATAAGGTGAATATAGAGTGTCCAGCAGTGTCCTGCATGTAGGGAGTGATTGATGAACCTCAACTTTAAATACGTACGGTTACACATTAACCCATTCACAACCAGAGCAGTGAATTTGTGTCAGATTATACTAAAAAGATACTAAAAAGCAAATGCTGGTGACTTTGACTTCTCTGTTTCAGAAAAGGATCCGTGTGAGGGGTGACCTTCTTCTTATTACCTCATATTGCTACTGCTGGCTTAAATACTTGTTGTTTTTATTGTGAATTTGAAGAAATAGGAGGTTAAGCTTTTGATCTTACATTAAAGCGAGGAGAGTTTCATGGAGGAGAAGAATGGGGAAAGGCGGGGCTGTGAGGAAAGGCTCTGTAAAGACGGTCAGGTGAGCTGAGCTCTGCCTAGACATATTTATGGTAGAATGTGGTACCTGGCCGCTGTAACTAGGTCCATCTTTATAGTTTCCATTTTCTTCCTCTTCTAGAGAGCTGGGAAGTGTTTATCTTCATTTCCTTAGTAAATCCTCTTCGGATAGATTTTTACAGAGATAGGGATTTGCCTTCTCCTGGACAAGTACGGCTAGGACGTCAGAGTGAGCCCAGAGCTCAGAGAAAATGGTGGCAGTGATTGTGATCTCAGCCTCCCCTCAACCACTGCCTCCTCTGTGGCTGGAGGGAGAGAGAAGATTAAGTTCGCAGAGGAGACTGATGTAGTCACCTCTCGAGGTCTTCTCTCAAGGGATAAATTCACCTCAGTCCTTTACAACAAACAAGAAAAAAGTATGCAACAAAGAATTCAAAGTCCTTCCATTCTCCTTCATAGTAGGACACAAGGTCTGATGTGCCCTCAGTCTTATCCTCTTTGCCAGGGAAAATTCTTAAGCAAGACAGAGGCCATCTTGGAGGATGTTTACCAGGAAGTTACCTGAGGACTCAGGCTGATGAAGCTCCCGGTGTGCCAGGTGGCCACACATTATGCATGTTAATCATATTATTCATGATGAGACTCTAAGGACATTCCTGTGCATGACATACTTAGCGCTGACACAATCTTGAGTGATTCGGTGAGAACATTTTAAAAGACACTGTAAAGCTTTTTAGACATAAATATAGCCAGTTTGTTACAGCGCCTAAACTGCTAAATACTACCTCGATGACGCTAAAACGGTAGAGGTTTCAAAGGTTCCCAGATTAAAACATCCAAGTGAACATTTAATTGGTGTTAAAGGAAAAACAACCAGTTAACACCCTGATGCTGGCAGCTGGAAATTTTGGTGATGTAGCTTCCCTGTCCCCGGGCACCCAGGGCACTATCTATAGAAGATAAGTGACTCAGAGCCTGCAGGGCCAAATCCTGATTCATGACACCACCCCCCAACCCCACCCCACTGCCCCCTAAAAGAAAAAAGTCAGAATTTCCCTGTGATACTCCGTATCCCACTAGGTCATTTAACCTTTTGGAGTGTCTCCTTCTCTGCATCTTGTTGGACTGAGTGGGATCATTTATACTGCGTACCTTTCGAGCCAGATGAGTGACCCCTTTGGCCATTCTTGACTTGTATCCACAGTCGCACTGTTTTGCTTAGAGACACTGTCTAAGTTGGTATGGAGAACACTGGGAGTGGCAGAAGTTCTGTGAGACCAACCCAAATTTTCCTATTTCCCTCTCCCTTTTCAACCTGGAGGGATTTCTATTTTTGCTCATTTTTAGCAGTGACCTGTTTAAGCAGAGCTGGATGACCGAGCCATATACTCAAGTGTCAGAACAGGCAGACTCCGCCCAGAAAAAAACATCACAAAGAAACCCTGTTGAAGACCAACCTTCCTGCACCTAAGGGGCTCCTCAGCCCACTCTCCTGCCCCCCAGGGCTTGGCAGGAGTTGTTAAACTGTTTGATGACATCTCCATCTGATTCCCCTGATAGCCTACCTTGCCCCAGGTCCTTGGCTACCTTAAACCAAGGTTTACATTTACCAAGAGACATTATAAAATGATGAACTCTTTTTTTTTTCATTTTGGGCATTTGTTTGGCATGAGATCACCCCAAACCTTGTTTTTCTACAAACATCTCATGGAATTACTAATTAATTATCTCACTGAGGCAAGAACAATATAAGGAAGATGTACTTAGATCCAGCAGATAATCAAATAGCCAAATTTAATTTAATTTTGTCTAGAATTCTTTTCATACAGCAATTAAGAGTCTAGTTCTGGCTTTAGAGCAAGTCATAAACAGGTCATTTAAACTATTATTTAAATTGTTTATGGAGAAAATTTTTTTTTAGTATTTGTTTATTTTTGAGAGACACACAGCATGAGTAGGAGAGGGGCAGAGAGAGAGAAGGAGACAAAGGATCTCAAGCAGGCTCCAGGCTCTGAGCTCTCAGCACAGAGCTTGATTCAGGGCTCGAACTCACAAGCCATGAGATCATGGCCTGAGCCCACCCAGGCTTAGTTATCTAATAACTAAGACATTACACAACATTTGTGTGGCATGATGTGAGAAATAAAATGTTAATCAAACATTGGGCAGACAAGTCTCACAATTTCAGTGAAATCAAATATTACAGCAGTTGGTCTTCACCAGAAGGGCTGCAGCTGTCACTCTGATAGCCAGCCAGTAAGCCCTGTCCCGTACCATGCTCACTGATGACCCTAAGACCCACTCTTATAAAATGGCAGCTAATTGTCGGGTGCCCTAGTTGTGGTTCCCAGACTGCTTCTCTTGCTTAAAGTCGAGTCACCCAGCCAGAGTAATTGAGTGGGGTACAGCCAAGCCAATGAAAGCCTTGCACTTAAGAGACTGCCACCACCCAGGCCCAGCCCCAGCCCAGCCCAGCCCCAGCCCTGCCCCAGGGCAGGCTTGGCCCCTGCCCCTTCTAATCAAGCTACTGATTGTCTTCAGGGAGGAGCCTAAAGAACATTCTGCCAAGGAGTCCTTGTTAGAACCAGTCACTCCCTTGGACTAAGCTGGCCACCACTGCTGGGGCTTGTCTCTTGAGACTATAAGGGTACAATTAATTGCAACAGCTGCAGCTTAATGTGTCTCTAGCACTTTGTTGATCTTGATGGTAATGACAACAAGGAAAAAAAAATCAATATATTTAAAAGGTCAAGGATGTTTCCCCAAGGTTCTGCTGGGTGTGGTTTTTACCTAATCATGCCGGGATCAAATGAAAACCATGCTGGTTAATTTTTAAACATTAACAATGACAGTTGATGGGTACATGATTGTTTCTCAAGAATTATTGTGTTTCTGAGTATTTATTTACTTAATCTTTTTAGAATTGAGCTTATAATTTCTAAAACTCATAATGTTAAATGCAAGCTACTTGCTTTGAATTTAATACAGTACATGAGTTTCTAGGAGGTGAGTGCATTTCTGAGATTATATTTATTTTAATAAGTTAGTGTATTTCTGAAGTTTTGTCCACTTATTACAAAGTTTAAGATGTATAAACTGATCTATATGTAAAAATTCTAGGAGAAAAAAATTCTCCTGCAGTGTCAGATGAGAGATCAAATGCAGTCTGACTACAGTGCAAATCTGCTAAATGGAAGGCAGAGAACTTTTGAAGGAAAAAAATGGAATAACTGGAAATAACCAGAGCAAACTTGGGAGTATTCTGAATAATTAGAAACATGAAATACTAATAATGTCCAAGCTGTAATCAGTGAGGAAAAATATAGCATAAGAAAGGTCTCTTATAAATGGAAACAAAATATTGGAGAGAAACAGTAAGCATACAAAGTAAAAAACATTGAATTTTAACATGATAGAAATGTTTCACTCAATCCATTGTATGTCAGAGACTAGCCAGATGCCCACTAAATCCGTCTTCTTCCTGGACACACAGCTAGACTACATTTCCCAGACTTTCTTGCAGTTAGCTTGACCATGTGACTGAGTTCTAGTCAGTGGGATCTGAGAAGTGATCACCACCAGCCCCCCACCCCGGCTTGGCCCCTCGCATACAATCCTCCTCGCTCTTTCTCTCTTCGATAGACAAATGCTGAGGATCCAATGGGATCTTTGGGACTCAAGGTCATGGTAGAGCTGCCATATGAAAGGAAACAATTCCTGCCAACCCAAGTTGGACTGCCATGTAAACAAGAAATAAACCTCTACGGATTAAGCCACTGAGGTATGGGGCTTGTCAGATCAGCCCAGCTAACATTCTAAGGAGTCATCTCTTCAGATTGCTGAGTACGAGATATGTTCAAAGCAAAGTTGGTAGGCTACATGTGTCTGCACATTTCTGTTACCATCACGGATACAAGTTACTTCACCTCTTATATTTAGTCAGGAAAAATTTTAGGTTATCCTTGGAAAGCTTTGGTTACTGGACCCTTCAACATCTTAGCCCCATAAGGAACAAGAGTCTTCATGATGTTTAGAATAAATAAACAATCTAATAAACAAAATGAATGAGTGAGTGAATGTGTGGCTATTTTATTAATAACAGTTAAGTATACCAGTTACAGTTATAGGTTTCTTTCTTTTTTTAGTCATGAGGGAACTTTTTATCTAATTGCATGGAAGATGGAAACACTAAATCTTATTGTAGACCACCTTCCCTCAAACCTCTATACTTTCTCCTGTGGGGATTCTCTCTACCCTCATGACTTAAAATAATTATAATCTATTTGTTGATGATACTCAGATCTGTTTCTCCAGCCAGATTCTTCTCCTCAAGGTATGAACCATATACCCTTCCTGCATAATTTCACCTGTGGACCCAGTATAACAGGCGTTCAGATGAATGAGTCATTGAGCTACAAAGGACTAATAGAAGTTACCTTTACTCAAGACTGTTGGTTATCTTTTCAGCATTAATGCCTTTCTACCCTGTTTTCCTTCTAAAAAGAACCCAGATTCCGTTAATATGTCTATACTTTCCCACACAGAACTGTGCTGGGAGAAGCTGACTCCACTCTTGACTCCAGGGGTGGTCTGAGCTAAGGATAATCTGATCAGTTCAGGAAAGGGCCTGTGCCAATGAGATGTGCAGCATTGTCTGCTAGAAAACTTCTGGAAAAAAGCTTCTTTACTCCTTAGAGAGAACTATAAGAGAAGAAAAGAAAGGGAGAAAAAAGTCACAAGGAAGAGCAGATACAGGGCAGAGCCCCAAGATTAAGTGCACATATTCTTAGGCCATACTAACTGAATTTGAATCCAGCTCTTTCTAATTATGTAATAGTCAACAAATTTTGTAGCCTTTCCATGCCTCAGTTTTCTCATCTGCAAAAGCAGTAATGAGAACAAAACATGAGATAATGTATGTAAAATCCTGGCACATAATAAGCACCGAGTTACTGTTTTTTATTATTATTTTGTTCTGGATATTGTTTGCTTGAAACTGCTGGCACCATCTTGCTCTGAGCCTGAGGAGTCAACAAACTCCAGGAATGCAAAGAGAATTTGAAGTAAATTTCTTCAAAATTCACTGAAGCAAAGAAAATGAAAAAACCTGGGTCCTTAATGACATGATTGAACTTTATAGTTAATCAACCCTCTCCTCTGCTTACATCCTGTTGTATGGGATCATAAACTCCCTTACTGTTCAAGCCTTCTTGTTCAGATTAGGGGTTTTTTTGTTTTTTTTTAATTTGCATCCAAAGGCATCCAACTTGACACATCAACCAGTATAGGATTTTCAGAACTTCTCAAAATCATGGAATACTGATTTTTTTCCTTAACTTAATAACATGAGTAATAAAAAATGATTTTCCTTATTAAAAAATGAAAATATTTCAGATAAAGTTTAAAGCCCTTTCTGATTGAGCACTTTTCCATTCCAACCCACCTTTCCCTCCCTCCCCAGAGGTAACCGCAATGATGTCTTTGGCATGTGTTCTTTCCTGTTTTTTTTTTTAACTTATTCTTATAAAACTTTCTGTATCCAAAAGAAATACATGGCATTGTTGTGGTGTGTACACATGAATGATTATATACTATGCACATCTTCCTGCAAGCTGCATTTTCAGTCAACAGTATATTTTAGAGAGTTAGCTAAATTAATATAGAGATTGACCTTGTTCTTGTAACTCTTACAAAGTATGTCAAAGTGTTAATATTAGCCAATCACCAGTTGATGGGCTTTTAGGTTCTCTTCAATTTGGTTTTAATTTATGTTTGTAACCACAGACAATGCTACAACATAGGTCCTCAAACATGTCTGCTTGTCAAAGCGACATGGTCAGGATGCCATGTAGTTTTTAGGGAACTGTTACTTCTGTCAATGTGAAATGCCTTCTTAAGTCCTTAAATTCTTTTTTTGTCTGATAATTGACCTTTTCACCCAGAATTCTATTTTGTCTGATTTTAATATTGCTTTAGACTCTTTTTGTCAGCATTTGCTTGTAAGTTTTTCCATCCCTGTATTATCAACTTATCTGTGCCATCTTGCTCTATGATATTTCTTGTAAACTACAGCTGGATTTTTAAAAATCCAATCTGACTGTGCCTGATTTTCAATGCAGTTGTGTATTTCTTTCCAATACATTTCCTACCCATGTATGGCCTTGATTTGAGAGGGATAAATACAGCAGGTGCTCAATTCGCCATCTTGAAACTAGAAGTTGTATCAGCTACAAAATCTGGATGTATTTAAATTTGTAATGTGAACTTTATCAAGTATTACAAGTTATATTAATATGTGTGTGTGTTAAAATGGTGTTAAAATATATTTTATCTTTTTGTGTAGAAAGAATTCCAAAACAAATGGATTATCACTGAAATCATATCAAGATGACAGCTTTGGTGGTTATACAAAGATTTTCTCTTCTTTGAAAAGGTTTTAGATAAGAGTTAATAAAGTAAACCTTGAGTTTCATTGCCTGTTAGTGAAATTAAACCATTCATGAAGTAAAACTTAATTTCCCAAAAGGTGAAAAATTTCAGCCATTGGGTTTCTTATACTTTGGTACACTTAGTAACAAATGTGCTACCAAAGAGAATATAAAAAATGCCACTTGACAATACACAAAAGAACAGAACCTGAGTTCAGAAATAACAACATCTCACAAATTTGGACCATGAAAAGAATTCAGCGATTTCACAAAAGCACTTAAGGCTTAACTGCTATTTGAAAAATATTTCCAGGCACCCACAGCTTTTACAGAACAGTTTGGGAACTCTATGAGTTTTCATTATTTTCAAACTATCTTTAGCAGGATTCTTGTATCTCATTCAGTGACTTTTAGGGCCAGCTAGGGAGACAGGGGATGGGAGGAAAATAGGTGTGGTCATGGCATGCTCTCCCTTCAACACAAAAACACCACACTCTTCATCTGTCTTCTATAAGGTTTTATTTAAATGATTCTGTTACTAAAAAAGAGATGACCTGGTCTAACATTTCTATTTTCAGTAAAACTAATCCTAAGTCCTTTATAGGCTTATAAAATGGGTCTCTTTCAAACAACCGCAGATAAGGGTCCCAAAGATGCCCATTTCTTAATGGGAATGGGAAATGCTTTAGTGTTTCCAGGCCAATCTCTTTTGCTTTACTGTCGATGGTCATGCATCTTTTTCATAATAACCTTCACATATTTGAAGATGATTATTCAGCCACTCCTTAGCCTTCTCTGCTCGGGCCAAATCAATACTACTTCTTTTTATTCCTTTCTACAGATCTCACTTCCCTATTTTCAATCACTTGTGTAAGGTCCTCTTCTCTCTGAAACATCTCCAAATTTCTCATCTCCCTCTCCAGTTACTGAAGAAACAATTACATGCCCTGAAGCTGAGTGAAAAGGAAAAGCCATCCTTCTACTACCTAGTTTCTTTGAGCTTTAATTTGGTTCTTCTTTCATCTTTCAATATCACCTTAATGATGGTGATGGATTCAAGATGGCAACAAATTCTTTGACACTCTTCTCATTGAGGTGTGGTTAATTTCCCCTCCTCGTAAATCTGGGTTGGGCTGTGACTAGCCAGTGGCCAGCACAGACGGGCAGAAATAATGCTTTGCCAGTTTGGGCCTGACCTTCAACGGGACTGTCAGCTTCCACCTTGACTCCTTAGATCACTTCATCTGGTAGAAGCTGGCCACCACCTATAAATAAATAAATAAATAAATAAACAAATAAATAAATAAATAAGGCTGCCCTGAGATTGCCATGCTATTAGGAAGCCCAAGCTGTCGTGCAGAAAGGTCACATGGACAGTAATGCTCTACTGCCCCTGCAGCGTCAATCCACGACATCATGAGAGATAATAGTGAACTGTTGTGTTATGCCATTATTTTTTTAGGTGACCTATTATACAACAAGATGACCAGAATGCCACCCAGTTATCTTGCTTTATGTCTTTTTAAAACTCTTTTTTCAAGAATATTCCAACAGGGAATCCCCAACTGCAAGAATTTCTCTGTGAGTATATATTCTGCAGCCATCTTCCTTAAAACAGAGTTTCTGTTGTCCTTTTCATAGCATATTTTCCAAAGCTGTTCAAGTTCTGTGGTGTTGTAGATGATGTTACAAGATCTAGCACATTCCGAAGTAAAACAGTAAGTTTGTATTGTTCCGTTTTGGGTTTTGTTGGCATTAATAATTAGGATGTTTAATTTTATGAGGTAAATCTCTAAATTAGGGGCTTTCCCGGGTCACAAAGGAAATCACAGCTGGGAAATAATGTTGCCCATTGAAGACCCACATGTTTTAGTTAATTCTCACAGGTTAAAGATACTACCAATAAAAGCAGACTACTTGGGAGCCTTCTCTGAAACGAGCTCATTGAAACTGCATACTTATGCAGAATCATTCATTTTTGCAAGGAGGTATAATAATCCTGCCGATCCTGTATAACCTGGAGCCAGGGACACACTGGCGATGAAGCCATCATTTTCCATCGGGCAGTGGCATTTTGTTGTTATACTCCAAGAAGAACAAATAATATAAAAGGACACATTACATTTTCAAAGTTCCCCTCAGTATACATTACCTGAGGGTCCAGGGTGGAGATAACATATAGAAATAAATGTTATTTATTTCTATATAAATAAATAACAATAAAATAAAAATAAATATAAATAAAAAACAATAAAAATTTCAAAAATTAAACACTTGACTCCCACCCCCAGTCTTAAAATGAGACTAATTTGGGGGATCAGTTGCTCTATGTGGATAGAACATAATACCCACAGATTAACTGATACTGTATCACCTCACAGAGAGTATTGTCTGGATGTACCTGCCTGCATAAAGTATATAACTGCAAAAAAGAAAGAAAAATGGCACTTAGCATTAATGCTCAGCTACAACTGGCACATCAAAATATCTACTGTAAGTACTTTTTAAATTTTATCATTTGCCTTGTAATTTACTTTTTAACTTAGTTTACTTTTTTAACTCAGTCAAATATATGAATCCTTTCCTCTAGGGTTTTCATCTTTGATATCATTTAGACAGTCACTTGCCAGGCACAGAGTAATCCCTCTGTCTTAGTCCATTTGGGCTGTTGTAACAAAATGCCATAAGCTGAGCGGCTTATAAGCAGCAGAAATTTATTTCCCATAGTTCTGGATGCCAGCAAGTCCAAGATCAAGATGCTGGTAGGTTTGGCATCTAGTGAGGACCCGCTTCCTGGTTCATAGATGTTGCCTTCTCACTTTCTTCTCACAAGGTGGAAGGGGTGAGGGAGTTCTCTGGGGTTTCTTTTATCACAGCACTAATCCCATTCATGAAGACTCCACCCTTAGAACTTAATCGCCTCCCAAAGGACTCCACCTCCAAATACTGCCCCCTGGGGTTTAGGATTTCAACATTTGAATCTGAGGGGGAAACAAACATTCATCCTACAATGATACCTCCACATAAAATGCCTATAGCCGCAATCCCTCCTCTTGAAGAAAGTCCAACTCTAGGGTCAGTGAATGAAACCCAAACTTCTGAAATGATACTATCTTGGGCAGCAAAACCCCATGGAGGGCCACATTCAGACCTTGTATATTTTACTAGCCAGAATAGGTGTGAATTTTCTAATTTGATTACCTTTGGGAGACATGTCTTCTCCTTGGTCACAGGCCCTCTCAAGCCCCATTTTTTTTCCAGCTGGCCACTTCTCACTGAATTTACCTGTCTGGCCCCTATGGGCATGTGCTGCTGGCACCAGAGTTCATAGAACCTCTTTCCCAGAGAAGAATGGATACCTAATTAGAAAAAGCTGAGGAAGGCCTCTGCTATGGCTTGGATAGCTATGGCCAGAAGGTTGGGGTATTTCTAGAAGAAAAGAAGTAGAAGAAAAGAAGCAGGGCAGAAAAAAGCTATGGTCCCTTCAGTGACTCAGCTACCTCCGCAACTCCCTACTGATGGACTCTAAAAGTTCATCATGAGTTAGCAGCTCACCCAGAGAGCTGATTGGGAAGGGGAGCCTCCAGTATTCCCAACAGGCAGCCAGGGAGTATAACCTCAGAGGCTGTTAACCAGCCCTAGAATGATTGTCCTCGGGTCCAGCATCTTCCTCCAGTCCAATCAGCAGTAGCCAAGGGGATGCAGCCATGGAATGCAGACATGGCTGCATTGTCATCTCTTGCAGTTCTAAGGATAGAATTTTACTTGGCAATATTTACCCATTCTGCTGTAGTTTACGTGCCTCTGGTGCTTAACAGCTGTCCCAGAAGCTGGTATTCTTATTCAGTTCTGCAGTGTTAGAATACCTTTCATTGTTGAAAACGTGCATGAAGTACACATGTGCATGGTGAATTCACTGTAATGCTATTTTTTGTAAATACAATAGTGCACAACCTTTCACAAATGTCTGTGTCAATTTCACACGTTAAAAAGTAGAAGATGTGCGGTGCCTGGGTGGCTCAGTCGGTTGAGCATCCGACTTCAGTTCAGGTCATGATCTCACAGTTCGTGGGTTCGAGCCCCATGTCGGGCTCTGGAGCCCGTCTTCAGATTCTGTGACTCCTTCTCTCTCTGACCCTACCCTGCTCACACTGTCTCTATCTCTCTCTCAAAAATACATAAAACATTAAAAAAAAGGTAGAAGATGTTCCAGCCAGAGGCACGAGAGTTCCTACACAAAATTCTGTACATCATTGGAGCTTTTGTATGGTAAGAGTAGTTTACAGTGTTGGGCTTACAGAATACCAAACTGAAATCTTTGCTAGACTGCCATGGACAAAAGTTTCCACATGCTTCTATTCTCCATGGCATTCAGTGGTCTTGTGCAAATATGATCTGTTGTGTGGCATATCTTTTATTTCTCTGTAGAACATTTCATTTTGACTTTTACGAAAATGGCAATACATGTAATTAATATATACTTTTTATTTTTTAAATTAATTTTATATATTTATTTTTGAGGGACAGAGAGGGAGAATGAGCTGGAGGAGGGCAGAGAAAGAGGGAGAGATTCCCAAGCAGGCTCCGTGCTTGTCAGTACAGAGCCCAGCGATGCAGGGCTCTATCCCACAAACTGTGAGATCATGACCTGAGTGGAAATCAAGAGTCAGACGCCTAACCAACTGAGCTACCCAGGTGCCCCTATTTACTTTTTTAAATGTAGAAACTTGTTACTTCCACAGTCAATTTTGGGATGCTAGAATAAACGATTTCTGTACCCCCAAAAAAATTTTGCTTAAAAGCAAATATCAGTTAATTCACTTAACTGAGAATATATCAATGCATTCCCAAAAAAATGTATTTAAAAAAGTATTTGGAAAAACTGCAGCCTTGTCCTCACATGTTGGACACACATAGGGACACAATCTGTCCTGGGGAGATCTAGCAGGACCCTAACAACAGAATTCCCACCAAGCACACTGTATCAAGTCACAGGCTTCAAAAGAGGAAACAGTAAAGCCCTTTTAAGTTTCTATTTCGGCATTTTTTTCTTTATGACGGTTTCCAGCTTTGGATTCTACGTATCCAGAGTTTGATACTTCTTCCTGATAAAGGAGTTGTTGGGCTATCATCCCTCAAAAACAAACCAAAGCAAAAAACCCTGTGTTCTGTGTCAGCACTTCGTAAGTAACTTAACTTCATAAGGTATATCATGAGGAAGTGCCCAGCGGGGGCTGTGGGTAGCATAGGCATCCTCTGGCTTCTTCCAAGTGAGCATTATAACTTAGATACACCTGCTTGATAGGCCCAGTACAGAATCTATCCACCGAATACTGTACTAATCTATTCACACGTTATTCATTCTCTTAATAATTTCTCAGGTCTCCATATCATCATTTTCTTTTTTTTTTTTAATTTTTTTTATTTATTTCTGAGAGAGAGAGAGAGAGACAGTGTGAGCAGGGTAGGGTCAGAGAGAGTGGGAGATATAGAATCCGAAGCAGGCTCCAGGCTCTGAGCTAGCTGTCAGCACAGAGCCCGACGCGGGGCTCGAACCCATGAACCGTGAGATTATGACCTGAGCCGAAGCCAGATGCTTAACCGACTGAGCCACCCAGGTACCCCCATATCATCATTTTCTAGGTTATAGTACATAGAAATGTGAAATGATTCTATATTAGTGCAAATATGCATGCTACGAGGACAAAACTTGAAAATCTGGATGGTATCATAAGATTGAGGTAAGGATTTCAATCAGCTCAACTCAGTAAGACAGAGGGACCCTACTCTCCACTAATGCACAGTTAGACACCCACCCAACCCTAAACAAGGTCATGGCTAACAGCAGCATAAACATCTGGCAGATCTCCTACCAAAAGCAACATTGTAAGAACAAGTATTCAAAGAGTTCCTAAGGATTTTTTTTAATGTTTTCAAACCCAAACACTTACATAGAAGGAAGTATGGATTTTATTTCTAGGTGACTGATCACCTTCATTACCTAAAAATCTTTACAAAATAAGGAATTTGCTATCAAGTCTCCTACATTTGTCTTATTAGTAACAGTGAAAAGTAATCAGTCATCTCTTTCCAGGTATCTACTATGAACCCCACAGACTGGCCAGCCCCACGACTTAGTGAAATAAAGAATTCATTTAATTTAATAGTGTTATTTTCATAACTAGTTTGAAAACTAGAAGGCAAAGGGAAGAAACATAGCCTGGAAGAGGTTCCAGAAAGCTACTACATATGGTAGGAATTGGTTATACCCTAAGGAGAATATGTAGTCCAAGAGCCGCTGCCTCTCAAAGTATCTTTTGCTCTCAGAAAAGCAGAGCCAGGGAGATTCACTTACAGACTGACAGAGAAAATATTTCTATCCAGAAGAGGGCTGCTGGGACCTCTAACAACTTCCACGGTAAAATCGAGCCTTCCGGGAGTCCCTGCCCATCCCCAGGAATCAAAGATTAGCATTATGGTCAGTTTCCCACTGTCTTTTCTGGAAGAAGAATTCTGCCAAGTCCAATTCTTTTTTTTTTTTTTTTTTTTTTGGGTGTAATCCCTTTTTTCATTATGTAAATGATCCAAGTTAATATAAAGAAAATTTAGAAAAGAACAGTCGAGAGAAGAATAAAAGACATCACCTGCAGGCCACTTCTCAGATTAACGACCGAGTAGAAAAACATTCTGGTGTATTTCCTCTTTCTTCTCCATGTTTGGTTTGTTTGGTGTGTGTTCTGTTTGTTTTTATACACTGCTGTGGTCGGTCAAAATACTCACAGTGCACGCCTCTTTATTTTTTTCCCTTAAAATCATATCACAAGTGTCTCCCTGGGTGGGTATGCAACCTTCCCGAACAGTTGTGGTGCTTAATGGCTGCATGAATTCTTAGTCCCAGAGTGGCTCCTCTTTCAACCCTCCAGTCTTTCCCAACCGGCTCCTCCCAGAGTCAGCTGCTCTGTGCTTAGAAAAGGCAAGCTCATTTTATCATAAAACAGCCTTGGCTGGTAAAGAAAATCTGCTGTCCCCAAAACTCATAATGCATTTCATTACCTTTGGATTATCAGTGTGGAATTATTCACATCACTGCCCTTAATTATCCACCTCACTGCCTTCTTCATTAGCATGGAGGGCGGAATCGAGGCTGGACTGTATTCTCTTCAGAGCCTCAGTCAGTTCTCATTAGTGAGCTGCCTAGGAAAACGGCCTCGGCTCCAGCGGGCCACTGCCGGTTAGTGTTCCTATCTCAAAGCAGGTCATTTATATTCCCTCTCTGGGTCAGCAACAAGGCGCGGGGTTAGCGGGGTGGGAGGCGGGCGTAGTGAGGCACAGTCAAGCCTAAATGGGCACACCAGCTCTGCTCACCTCTCCTCCCCTCTGCTGCGTCTTCCCCTGTCCCCTGAGCACGGTCTCTCTCTTTTTCCAGCTTCCCGGGCGCAGAAGAAAAACAGTTTGGCTGTTGGAGCCTGGGTGTGAGACCAGAGCAACTTGCAATCCTGTGACACTGTCATTCCTTCACCTCCGGGCCCTCCGGCCACTCGGGATGGCCCCTAACAAAAGGCCCCCATTTGCCCCCCAAGGCAGGCCAAAGCTGATTCAAAGCAGGATCTGAATCCACCTAAGCTGAGCAAACCAATGGCCACAAACCTGCCACTCTCCATTTACTAGCCTCTAAGTCAGGCAGGAACACTTTTTCTTTCTTCCTTCCTTCCTTCCTTCCTTCCTTCCTTCCTTCCTTCCTTCCTTCCTTCTTTTCTTTCTTTCTTTCTTTCTTTTTTAGTTATTTTTTAAAATGTGTATTCATTTTTGAGAGGCAGAGAGAGAGCGTAAGCGGGCGAGGGGCCGAGAGAGAGGGAGACACCGACTCCGAAGCAGCCTCTGGGGCTCTGAGCTGTCAGCACAGAATCCCCGAGGGCTCGAACTCGTGAGCCGAGATCACGACCTGAGCCGAAGATGGGCACTTAACCAGACTGAGCCACCCGGGCGCCCCTCTGTCTTTCTTTTTTAATAGGAGCCAAGTAAAGGAGCATAATCCCAAATGTATATACAGTGTTTTTAAAGGCTTGAAGCAGGATATAAACACAACCTCCAGAGTAAAATAGAACCATAACAATACTCCAGCGTTATTTAGCGGGAGCGCCCGTCAACAGCTCTTCATTTAGTAATGACACACCTTTGCAAACCACTTAAAAAGAACTTTCCAGTAGATCGGCCTTTTTGTTTTCTTAAACGCTAGCCTGTAAACACCGTCGCTAAGTGCTGCTTTTTAAAAGGCCGGCAATATCATAACCTATTGGTTTGCTTCCCATGCAGTGCTCAGAAATATGTCTGTAAAGTCTGCTGTCCCAGGGCTGGGGCTAGCCGCTCCCCAGCTGGGACGGTCAGAAGCCGCTTCCTCTCCAGTCCCAAGGCGAACAGAGGCTCGTTGTCTGGAAGGAGCCAGCCAGGAAGTGCCTGCTGCTCTCGTGTAAACGTGGACGTTCACTTAAGAAGTCGGACTGTCTAGAGAGTGAACTCAGATCAGACAGGGTGGAACAATTCGGGCGGGGGGAGCTGCCCAGTGACAGATAGGAGATTGTAGGTGGGATTTGCGTGCAGGCTGCTTCTGGGGCTCTTCTTTGCCTAAAGCTTCGGCAAGATT